CCCCCTCCCCCTTCACCGAGGGGACCCGTGGGTGCACAAGGGGGCTTCGAAAAAAAAAAAAAACGTAACGTTGCCGCTCGCCGCTTCTGGGCAGCAGGCGCTTGACGCTCGCGGCGCCCTCAACCGGCCACATCCAAGATCCGGCACAACAGTAAATGAGAGAGGGCAGGGACGAGGGAGAGGACGGAGGGGGAGAGCCAGAGGCAGAAACGACGGGAGCGCGGCCATGGGGTGTGAGCCACCAAACCCCACCGTTTAGGCGCGCGCGTTCCCGGCACTGGGGCCACGAAGCAATGGAGGAAGAAAAGAGGGAGAAGGGAGGAGGGAGAAGAGATGGGACGACGAAGGGGAAGGCACAGCTTGCCCTATCGCTGCCTCGCTGCATCCACGGCTGCGGCGTGCGAACAAGCCGAATTAGCAAGCCTGCAGCGCACCCGCGCTGGAGAGAAGGCGGACATTGCCAAGCTGGAGCGCGCATGACAGATCTTGCCACGCACCCTGGATGTGCACATCCCGCCCCGTTGGATCCGCATCCTTGTGCAGAGCACGCACAAGCGTGACTAGAGCCGCCCTTGGCCTCCCCAAATGTTCAAACACAGCTGGGTGGAGCGCAAGAGCCGCATATTTGCGACGCTTGACCGCCTCCATCGAGGCCGCCGTGCAACCGTCATGCCGGGCGGGCCGGGCTCCAGGCAGGGCGCCGACGTGCGCAGTGACGACGGCGACATCCACCCACTGGCGAAGCCCTCTGTGGTCGTGGAAGCTGATGTCGGGCCGTCCCTCGTCGTCGGCGCCTGCACCTGGCAGCTGCTCTACAGCTACCGGGGCGCCACTTGCACGACGGATCACATCGGCAAACACATCCCGGATATCGCTATGCCTGCTGATGGCGCCGCCGCCGATGTGGCACCGGAGGGCATGGTCGCCGACCGGGTCGAGTGCAGCACCGCAATGTGCAGTGCGAGTGGCCACGCGGGCGTGCCTGCAGCCGCCGCGCCCCGCGGCGGGCGCGAAAACCCGAATTCCCAATCGGAGGCGCACGGCTGCACAAACCTCGGTGTCTGTGAACTGATGGCCAAGCCGGGCTGGCGGTAGGAGCCATGCACCGGCGCCGGGCCCTCCAGCAGCGCGCAGCTTCGCCGTGCGATCGTCTGGCATGCCGCGTAAGAGAGTTTGCAATTCGCGTGCTTGCACAGAGATCGCCCAGCGGCGCTTGGCACCCTGAGCGTGGGCATGCTCCAGTGCTTCCGAGAGGCCTGATATCTCGACCCCGGCATGCTGCATCCTCGCCGCCTCCTGATTCAAACAATCAGAAAGGGCAGGGAGTTGCTCGAGAAGCGTCCCAGGACCGGCCATCCCAATCGCCTCGGCAATTGACGGGAGCCGCGCACCCGAGGCTGAAACATAACTGGCGGCAGCATTCATGGCAGAGCTGCGCAACCCAAGCCCTCCCATGCTGGTTTTTAAAGACAACTGGGCTGTGGCAACACCCTCGCTGTCAGCAGTGCCGAGCATGCGTCCGACTGCGCTCACCGTGACTGCGTCCAGACTGGATGCGCCCTCGTGGGTCACTCTTTGGACCTGCTCCAAGTACGTGACGTCCCCACCCACAAAATACCGAAGCAGAACGAGCCCAATTTGCCGGCTGAGGCCGGCGCCCACTAACTTGTGGAGGCGTCTGAGGGCCGCCTCTCTAGCGGCAATCGCCTCGGTCACCGGGGCGTCGTCAAAGTTCAACGTAGTGGCTCCATCTGCGGCCGCCACGACCTGCGGGAGGGGCTGCTTCAATACGAGCGGCATGGAGTCGAGGACTCTGAGCGGGCTGCCCGGCACGGTTGGCGTCTCGACTGGCGCCCCTCTCGCCGCAGACTCGGCGCGGAGCCTATCAGCTAGGCCCTCCACGAACGTGCCAGACTTCCTCCACTTGACCTGGGATCCGGTGGGCGCGAAAGCGGTCTCCGCGTCAGCTGCTACACCTGAAAGCTGAGCGTGCTCAGAAAAAAGGTATGTGTCGTCCTGGTACGCAAACGTCTCGTACTTCATCGCCAGTCTTTCGAGCGCGGGCGAATACCCAATAGGTGCCAACATGGTGCTCATAGGGTCCCCCTGGTCCAAGCCCGTGACCGCATGGACCACATGGACAGTTCCCCCATCGTCAACGTACACATGCTCCCTCGGTATGAACAACCACGATCGAACAAATCTCCAGAGCCTCGGAGCCTTCCGGGCAGTTTGGGTAGCAATGTTCGGCACATTCAAGCGACCGTGGGCGTTCTCGAGATCGAGGGAGGTGAGGGCCTTGGTGGGATTCCGCATCTGGAAGGCGTGGAGGCGGTGCTGCATGGCGGCGGCGCCCCCGGGGTGAGCACAGCCAAACTGGTGCGGTTCAACAGCCTCTCGGACGTCCCCGCCGTGCATCTTGACCAGCGCCCTACCGCCGAGCCTCCACTGTGCACTGGCAGGTGCAATTGGCCTGACGCCTCCGTCTGGCTTCGCGGCCGGGTGGAGCCGTGCAGAGCGGTGCGCCTGCACTGCTGCGTATGGCGCCTCCCCCAAGAACAGCATAGTGATGACCTGGGCCATGAGCCCGACGCCGCCGTCCACAACATGCTGGAATGCAAAATGCTCGTACACGGATCCCGAAGGACCAGCTCCTGCCATGCGTTCAATGTGCATCAGCTGCGCCACAACATGTTGTACAAACTCGGCACGCTCATTATCTGGGAGAGGATCATGCTGCTGCAAAGCCTGCGCTTCGTTGTGCCAGCGCGGGTCAGGCAACTCGTCCGGAAATAAAGCACGAAGTTGGCCAGGGACATCAGGCCCGCGAACAAATGAAATGGGACGCGTGGCTCTCCCAAGTGCCTGGCTGATGGCGCGCGCGTCCACGAGGTTGTGCACCGCCTGAGCTTCCCGTTGTAGCTGCTTGTGTTCGGACGTTGTCTGGATGGCACGGCGCTCCGGCAGTGAGGTCATATCCAGCTCGAGCAATAGTTGTGGCCATGCGCCATCCCAAAAAGCCTTCAGCCTGCGAGCCAACGTAGTGTTCACTGTGGCATGTCCTTGTCCTCTGCGCCCCCCGCGGGCGCGCGGGATCTTGCCCAGCACCAGCGCATCGAACATAGTGAAGAGTTTCCAGGCCCGCTCCCCGCTGGTGGAGTCCTGCTGCTCCCATGACTGCATGATGAGCTGGTTCACGGCGTGCTTCGCCTCTGCCACCGAGACGTGGAAATGGGCTGGCACATTACGTAGCGTGGGGTAGCACTCGCGCACGCTGCTCATCCTCCTCCTCCTCCTCCTCCTCCTCCTCCTCCTCCTCCTCCTCCTCCTCCTCCTCCTCCTCCTCTTCCTCCTCCTCCTCCTCCCTCCTCTCTCCTCCTCCTCCTCCTCCTCCTCCTCCTCCTCCTCCTCCTCCTCCTCCTCACCTCCTCCTCCTCCTCCTCCTCCGCTCCTCTTCCCACCTCCTCCTCCGCCTCCGCCCCCTCCTCCTCCTGCTGCGCCTCCTCCTCATCCTCCTCATGCTGCTGCTCTCCCTCCGCCTGTTTCGCCTCTGACATCTCGTTCCCCTCCCGCTTTCCTACCCTTTCCCCCCTCCTCCTCCTCCCTCCTCCTTCCCTCCTCATCCTCCATCCTCCCTCCTCCTGTCCTCCTCCTCCTCCTCATCTCCTCTTCCTCTCCTCCTCGCTAAACTTCCTCCTGCTCCTCCTCTTCCTCCTCTCCTCCTCATCATCATCCTCCTCCTCCACCTCCTCCTCCTTACCCTCTTCCTCCTCCTCCTCCTCCTCCTCCTCCTCCTCCGAATCCTCCGAATCCTCCGAATCCTCCTCCTCCTCCTCCTACTCCTCCTGCTCATCCTCCTCCTCTTCATCATCGTCGTCATCATCAGCATCAGCATCAGCATCAGCATCATCATCGTGATCATCATCATCATCATCATCATCATCATCATCATCATCATCATCATCATCATCATCATCATCATCATCATCATCATCAGCATCATCGTCCTCATCATCACCAGCAGCAGCAGCATAATCATCGCCATCATCATGAACATCCTCATCGTCAGCATCAGCAGCAGCAGCATCATCAGCAGCAGCATCATCAGCATCATCAGCATCAGCATCGGCATCAGCATCAGCATCATCAGCAGCATCATAAGCATCATCAGCATAACATCATGACCATCCGCATCACCAGCATCATCACGATCAGCATCATCAGCATCATCAGCGACATCATCATCATCATCATCAGCATCAGCATCAGCATCAGCAGCATCATCGTCATCATCATCACCATCATCAGCATCAGCATCAGCATCAGAAACATCATCAGCATCAACATCAACATCATCATCGCCATCATGATCATCATCAGCATCATAATATTCAGTGTGAGCATCATCATCATTATCATCATCAGCACCATCAGCATCATCAGCAGCATCAGCACCGTCATCAGCATCAGCAGCAGCATCATCACCAGCATCATCGTCGTCATCATCAGCAGCAGCATCAGCATCATCATCACCAGCAGCAGCATCTCACCACCAGCATCATCATCGTCAGCGTCATCATCATCATCATCATCATCATCATCATCAGCATCATCATCATCATCATCATCATCAGAGCAGCATCAGCAGCATTATCAGCAGAATCATCATCAGCAGCAGCATCATCATGAGCAGCAACATCAGCAGCATCATCCTCATCATCATCATCACCACCATCATCATTATCATCATCAGTATCACCATCATCATTATCAGCATCATCAGCATCATCATCATCATCAGCATGAGCATCAGCATCAGCATCAGCATTATCATCATCATCATCATCATCATCATCATCATCATCATCATCATCATCATCATCATCATCATCATCATCATCATCATCATCATCATCATCATCTTTCTTCATCTGTTTCTTATCAACCTCCCCCTGGACATGGCACGACGATGGTTCCAGGCAGCACATCCAGCGACAGGCCTAGCCGCTCACACGTCGAAGCCTCTCCGAAGGCTTCTCCGGGACAACGCCCTCGGGGTACTGCCTGAAGCCCAGGCTGGCGCGCTTCCTCTTCCTGCTCCCCCTCCCAGCAGTCCTTCACCTCCTCCCTCTCATACCTCTCCTCCCCGCCCCCGCCTCCTCACCCTCATCTTTCATGGTCCCCCTCCTCCTCCTCCTCCTCCTCCTCCTCCTCCTCCTCTTCCTCCTCCTCCTCCTCCTCCTCCTGCTCCTCCTCGTCCTCCTCATCCCCCTCGTTTTGTAGACCTGCCTGAAGCCGTTGCCGACGCCCTTGGTGAGAAGGTCGTTGGGGTCGGGGAGCAGGTTGTCCAAATCGGACAGGTCGATTTCGGCCGTCCGGCAAATGTCCGTTGCGCCGCGACCTTTGCGGCCCGCCGCCCATCGAGACATCAACAACAATAGTCCAACATAGAAAAACAAATATCATGGCGAAGAGCCCAATCACATGAAGCTGCGGGTACTGCGAGGCAAGTGAGAAGAGCAAGGGGGGAGGAGTGAGTGGTGTGCCGACATGGGGCGGGTGCGCCATGCGGACCCTGCCACTCGGGCCTTGGATGGAGCTCCCTATGGGACCACGAAACGCTTCAGGGGTGTGCTGAATCGGGCGCAGGTACGCCATGCGAACCCTGCCGCTAGGGCCTTCGATGGAGCTCCCTCTGATGCCACGAAGCGTGTATGGGGTTGTGCTGAATCGGGTGCGGGTATGCCCATGCGGACGCTGCCGCTAGTGCATTCGGTGGAGGTCCCGTCGGGGCCGCGACACGTGTGAGGGGTGTGCTGAATCGGGTGCGGGTACGCCATGCAGAACCTGCCAATGGGGCCTCCGGCGGAACTCCTTCGAGGCCACGAAACGTGAGGGGTGTGCCGAATCGGGTGCAGGTACGCGATGCGGACCCTGCCGCTGGGCCCTTCGGTGGGGCTCCCCATGGGGCCACGAAACGTGTATGGGGTGTGCTGAATCGGATGCGAGCACGCCATGCGGACCCTGCCGATGGGCATTCGGTGGAGTTCCCTCTGGGGCAACGAGAAGTGTGAGGGGTGTGCTGAATGGGGTGCGGGCACGTCATGCAGACCCTGCCGCTGGGGCCTTCGGTGGAACTCCATATGGAGCCACGGAACTTGTGAGGGTGTGAAGAATCGGGTGCGAGCACGCCATGCGGACCCTGCCGCCGAGACAGTCGGTGGAGCCACCTCATGGGCCACGAAACGTGTGAGAGGTGAATCGGGCGCGGGTACGCCATGCAGACTCTGCCGCTGGGTCCTTCGGTGGACCTTCTAATGGGGCCACGAAACGCGTGAGGAGTGTGATGAACAGGGTGCGGGTGCGCCATGCGGACCCTGCCGCTGGGGCCTTCGGTGGAGCTCCCTCTGGGGCCACGGACCGCGTGATAGGTTTGCTGAATCGGGCGCGGGTACGCCATGTGGACCCTGCCAATGGGGCCTTCGGAGGAGATCCATATGGGGCCACGAAACGTGTGAGGGGTGTGCTGAGTCGAGTGCGAGTATGCGATGCGGACCCTGCCGCTGGGTCCTTCGGTGGAGCTCCGTATGGGGCCACGAAACGCGTGAGAGCTGTACCGAATCAGGTGGGGGTCCGCCATTCGGACTCTGCCGCTGGGGCCTGCGGTGGAGCCCCCCTCGGGGCCACGAAACGTGTGACGGGTGTGCTGATTCGAGTGCGAGTACGCTATGCGGACCCTGCAGATGGGGCCTTAGGTGAAGATCCATATGGGGCCACGAAACGTGTATGGGGTGTGCTGAATCAGATGCGAGTGCTCTATGCGGACCCTGCCGCTGGGGCCTTCGGTGGAGCCCTGAGGGCCACGAAACTTGTGAGGGTGCGGTCCCTGCCGCCGCCACAATCGGTGGAGCCCCCTGGGCCACGAAACGTGTGAGGAGTGAATCGGGTGCGGTTACGCCATGCGGACCCTGATGCTGAGACAATCGGCGGGCCACGAAACGCGTGAGGGGTGTGCTGAACCGGGTGTGGGGTACGCCATGCAGAACCTGCCAATGGGGCCTTCGGTGGGGCTCCCCATGGGGCTACGAAACGTGTATGGGGTGTGCTGAATCGGATGCGAATACGCTATGCGGACCCCGCCGCTGGGGCCTTCGGTGGAGTGTCCTATGGGGCCACGAACCGTGTGAGGGGTGTGCCGAATCGGATGCGGGTACGCATGATGGTTATGAGGTGAAGGCATATGCAGGGCGGAGGCAAGGGACGGGAGGAGGAGGAGGAGGAGGAGGAGGAGGAGAAGGGCGCGGGGCGCTATCTCTGGAGAGCGAGGACCCAACACCACAGGATGGCTGGGAACAAAAGAATTCAAGTGGAGGCTGTCGTCGTCGTCGTCGTCGTCTTCTTCCTCCTCCTCCTCCTCCGCCTCCTCCTCTTCCCCCACCCACCCCACGCTACCCAAGCAAACACACACACACGCGCACGCACACATGTTCCTCTGCTTCCTCATCAGAGTTAAAAGCAGCATCATCATCATCATCATCATCACCATCATCATCATCATCATCATCACCACCACCACCACCACCACCACCACCACCATCATCATCATCATCATCATCATCATCATCATCATCATCATCATCATCATCATTATCATCATCATCCTAATAATAATCATCATCATCATCATCATCAACATCATCATCATCATCAGCATCATCATCATCAGCAGCATCATCAGCATCATCCCCATCACCATCATCATCATCATCATCATCATCATCATCATCATCATCATCATCATAATCATCATCATAATAATCATCATCATCATAATCATCCACATCATCATCACCATCATCATCATCATCCTCATCATCAGCATCAGCATCACCATCACCATCATCATCATCGTAGTCGTCGTCATCATCATGATAATGATGATCAGCATCATCATCAGCATCATCATCATCAGCATCACCATCGGAATCAGCATAAGAATCATCATCATCACCATCATCATCGTCGTCATCATCATCAGCATCATCACCAGCATCATCATCATCATCATCAGCATCAGTATCATCATCAGTATCATCATCAGCATCATGATCATCATAATGCTAATCATCAGCAGCAGCATCATCGTGAGCATCACCACCTTCAGCATCATCATCAGCAGCAGCATCATCCTCATCATCAGCGCCATCATCGTCATCATCACCATCACCATCAACGTAATCATCATAACGATCATCGTCATCCGCGGCATCATCATCATAATCATAATCGTCGCTATCATCATTATCATCATCATCATCAGCATCATCAGCATCATCATCATCAGCAGCAGCATCCTCATCACCATCATCATCATGATCAGAAGCATCAGCATCACCATGAGCAGCAGCATCATCATCAATATCATCAGCATCGTCGTCATCACCATCATCAGTCACCATCATCAGTAGCATCATTGCCATTGCCGTCGTCGCCACCATCGTCATCGGCATCAGCATCAGCATCAGCATCATCGTCATTATCATCATCGTCGACAGAATCACCATCGTCATCATGGCCATAATCATCATCATCATCATCATCATCATCAATATCATCATGATCATCATCGGCATCGATTTTATCGTCATCATCATCAGCAGCATCATCAGCATCATCATACGCACATCCAGTCGCATCACCACCGCCACGAACACCCTCATCACCATCAGCAGCAGAATCATCGTCGTCAACACCACAGTCATCATGAGCAGCAGCACCAACAGCACCGGCACTGTCATCCTCATCATCATCCGCAACCTTCATCACCACCATGATTAGAATCGTGACCAACGGCACCGGCATCATCGCCGTCATTATCGTCATCGTTACCGCCATCGTAATCGACACTGAGGTAAGCCGCCGCCTCCTTCTCTCCCTCATTGCGCCCCTCTGGTAGAGGAAGATAGCATCCTCCTCCTCTTCCTCCTCCTCCTCCTCATAATCATCATCATCACCACCATAGTCATCCTCCTCATCAGAATCAGCATCATCATCAACGGCATCATTGACATCGTCATCACCATCAGCATCATCATCGGCATCATAATGATCAACATCTTCACCAACAGCAGCAGCATCATCATCAGCATCGTCATGATCATCATCAGCATCATCAACAGCATCATCATCATCAGCATCATCAGGATCATCATCATGAGCATCCGCAGAAGCATCGGCATCATCTGCTCATCGTCATCCGCATCCTCATCATCCTCATCATCCTCTTATTCCTCCTCCTCATCATCATTGCAACATCATCAGCAGCATCATCAGCATCATCATCAGCAGCAGCAGCAGTAGCAGCATCATCATCATCATCATCATCATCAACAACAACAACAACAACATCAACAACAACAACAACATCATCATCATCATCATCATCAGCAGCAGCAGCATCATCATCATCATCATCATCATCATCAGAGCAACTCTTTTTTCACACTGCAGGGACACAGATCTGACGAAAGCCTCGAGACGTCCAGGCCAGAGGTCAGAGTCGATGCACGCTCTCACTCCTCCCAGGGTGGGAGGGTGGGAGCCGAAGACAGGCTATGGAGGGGAGAGCGGGGACAAGTGAGAGAAGGCATCCCGATGTTTAAACTTCCTTGGATCGTTTAGCAGGTACTGACATCACCGAATTCAAAAAGCCCAAGCTCAAACCGTTCAAGAACATATAGAGCAATTCTTTTTTCACATTGCAGGGACACAGATCTGACGAAAGCCTCGAGACGTCCAGGCCAGAGGTCAGAGTCGATGCACGCTCTCACTCCTCCCCAAATTTCCCGAGTACGGGAGTTCACTAGGGCTGGGTAGGGAGGGATGTTGAATTATATCCGAACGTGGCAACGCAAGAGGCAGTAAGTGCCCGAACTATACAGTGTGCGAGCTCGGGCGGGTAGGCAGCTGCAGGACGGGCGCGGGCGCTGCCCTCGAGTTGGAAATGAGGCAGGCCTGACCGCGAGCACTGTCCCGTCTGACCACTACATTTTCGGCAAAGATTCTTGGGATCGTCAACTGTCACGTGACAGAACATGAGGCGAGTTGGCTTCTTACATTGGGCTTTGAATTGGCACTGGTCTAGTTCGACTAAGCTGACATGCGGCAGGTGTGCTAAGGCTTGGATTTCTGCGGTATGCCACAGACGAGAGGTGAGCGGGTGCTCAAGAACAGCAGGGATCTTGAGCTGATGGAAAAGAGCGAACAGGCCTATGGCGGCGTGGGCGATCCGATTGCCCACCTTGATTTTCTCTCGGTCTGGTGCACTGAGCGACTGGCTGGGCAAACCCCAAGGCATGTGCTTGGATCGGATCTTTGCCGTCCGATCTCGCGCGATTGAGAAGGTTTGGCACGAGGGGGCCAACGCTGCTGCCAGGATAAGGCCCCGGCGGGCGTCGCGTCGGATCGCCCTGAGAACCCTAGGATCGACAAGATTCTGCCAAACTGGGTCGTGGGCCACGTCCCAGCTGCGTGTCCTAAAGCCTAGCTTTTCACCTGCTCGCGAGATGCAACGGCTTCCCGCAAAAAAATCGGCGACATACCGGCCTCTGAGGCCGAAACGCTGCGCAGCGAGATGTCTCTCGCGGCAGCCACGGAAACTCCGCCTCAGCTTGGCACGCGCGACTGCCAGGTCAGCATTCGATGGCTGAACCGGACTGGGTGAGCATGGCCGAGCATGATCCTCATCAGATGGACCTCGCACGCCTCGTACAGGCGCCTCTGGTCCGCGGGAAAGCGCTCGTACTCGGCGCTCAGGCGGCTGCTGTGCTCGTAACGGTGCATGCTTTTCGCCTGGGCCCAGCAGCCGCGCCTCCGAATCTCCTCTAGGCTGCGAGTGCGTCTGCTGGCGTCGATGCTCGCGCCTGAGTGGCGGAGTTGGTACAGTGTCAGTTTGCCAGCCCCGATCTCGGCCGCCGCCAGCTGCACCGCTTGCGAGAGCTCCAGGTACGTGAAGGGCCACAGCTTGGTCCTGTCTCCGTGCCCTCGGAGCTCGGCGAACAGCGGACCCAGCCCCCGAAGGTAGCTCGAGTCCAGGAGGCAGCCCTCGTCGTAGCGATTCGTCTTGCTCGGTCGGCCTTCCTCCTCTGGGTGCGTTAGGAGGCCCCAGCTGTCCACTGTAGCACGCGAAGGCGGGACCAGGTCGCACTTCCGAGCTGCCAGCAGAGAAGAGGGCCTCGAGTAGGCAGAGAGGCATACGGCGAGGAACAGGGCCATGAACGGGAGGCCCTTGTCCACCAGACGCCACATCACTGCCGACCACACGGCGAGCGGCAGCGCTCGGCGGGTGCGCGAGGGCGTCAGCCGCCTCCACGCCTTGAGCGCTCGCCACGTCCGCGGCAAGGCTCTTCCACCCCGTCGGCCAAAGGCCGGGTGTCGGTCGATGAGGGCGGCACCAGTCTGGTCTCCCAGGCTGCTCTGCTCCCCGGACAGGTACATCGCGGTGAAGTAGTCGCACACCCAACGATCCACGGTCTCGTCCGAGCTCCTCACGAGCTCGTCGTCGGTCAGGTCGGCATGCAAGTAGAAACGATCGAGATATTTGGCATAGCGCTCCCTCGTCCGGCGAGTCACTGCCAGTCGCTCCAGCAAGGTGGGCCCGCCAGCTGCGGTCTGCATAATCATGTCCGTGTAAAGGGCCGCACGGCGCCGGCGTCGGGAGTCCTGGAGGCGCCGAGACCTCCTTGCGGCCGCAGTCGCGTGGTTCACTAAGCTGTCGGACCCACTCGACTCGCCCCCCTCCCCGGCGCCCGCCACGTCGTCGCCAGCGTCGTCCGCGGGAGCGAGGTCCTCGAGCGTCACAGAGGGCGGCAACGGCGGCTGGCGAGGGCGGCTCTCCAGGCGCGCCTTGACCGAGCGGGCGCCAGGGCCCCCTGTCCTCGCGACGGGGCGGGCTCTGGGACCGCACGTGTCCGTCGCCACCTGGGGCCTCTCCAGCACTCTCGACCTCGCCTTCACTGTCGGCGGATCTCTCCGGCAGGGCGGCGGGCCGACGCCAGGCCGCGGCAGCGCCCGCGACGACGCTGGGGGACTCGCCCGCGATGGCGCCCGCGGCGGCCGCAGAGCCCGCGCGCGCATCCGTCGGGACAGACTCTTCGGGGACGGAAGCGAGGAGGGCCTGACTACAGTAAGAGCCGAAACGACTACGGAGGGGAGAGAGAGAGAGAGAGAGAGAGAGAGAGAGAGAGAGAGAGAGAAGGGGGAGCAGAGATCCGAACCTGCTGATCCAGGACATCGGTTAGCAACTTGGACGAAACTTCTGAGTGATCCCGGCTCCCGGCATCGCTCTGGTTAAACTCCGAGGGAATCCACCTAAAGTACGGGGCGATGCCAAGGGCAAGGGCATAGGCGCTGAAGCGCCGAATCTGGACTAGGAGCTTGAAGTCCTGACTCCGCGAGCGAGCGAAAGCAAGAACGACGGCCATGTTGTCACACCAGAAAAGCTGTCTGACGCAGGACCCATATCTGGTCCTGGCGAGCCTACGGATGGCCTTCACCAAGGCCCGGGCCTCCAGCACCAGAATGCCCTCGCTAAGGCCCCGGACTCCCCTCCGGACGGTTTCCCAGGCCGAGCCTCGGAGGAGCTGCCAGGGGACTTCGGGAAAATCCGCCACGACCTCCCAGTCGTCTAGCTGAGGCTCGTCTCCCAAAAGTTGGCTTCTCCACTCGCCTGACTCGCCGCGGAAGAGGTGGGCTAAAGGCTACGAGCTCCTCGACCACTTCGGGCCACATCGAGCCCACGTCAAAATACTGGACCGAAATGAACTTATAGACGGTGTGGAAGATAGAAAGGGACTCACGGGCAGCCAGACCGCAGAAGGTGCAATGTCCGATCACTTTTTCAAGCGCCTGGCCGCTGCAGCGGCCCCGAGCGAGGAGGCCAGTCAGGCCCCGCTCGAGCTTCCAAAACCGGCTCGAGGTGATCCCCGAGCGGAGGCGGGTGCCGTCGAGCTCCGTGCCGAGAGCCTCACCTGCGCCGCCGTGGGACTCCGACTTGTGGAGCGCCAGGCCGACCGGCTCGAACAGATCGCTCCACTCGGAGACCATCCTGTCACCGAGGTCGGCATCGTCCGAGACGGCGCCAAGGTTGTCCACGTGCACGTAAGCCCCTCCGACCCCGCGCGAGGCGGCCCGCAACACAAACGCCTCGACCTGGTCCTGAATCAAGGGCTGGTGTCTGCCGGCTGGCATTGCCCTGCACAGGCTGGGGCTACGACACACCCTGTCCTCATTCGCGGCCTGGGCCAGGTACAGCGACCACGTGAACCCCCATCGGAAGCACGGCAAGGTAGGGCCGCACAGGGGCATCCGGCGGGGCATCCCCAGGGACGCCGGTCACCTGAATCCCGTCGAACACGTGCTTCGGGACGGCGGGAAGGCAGAAGTAGCGGCCGAGGTCCTCGCGGACGCGCATGCGGTAGAAGCAGTCCTTCACGTCGGTGGTGGCCACGTAGACAGTGAAGGCGTCCAGAAGCCTTTGCCCCTCAACTGACGAGGGCAAGACACCCGGCGGCAACTCTACCTCGATCCGGCCGAACCCCTCGCTACTGAGGAGCTGCACACCTGGCGGCGTTCTGAAATGGCCGTTGCTTCGCCTAGCGTCAATTATCATACGTTGAGCCCCGTTCGACTTGGCTACGAAAAACAGGCCCACCGACTCGGCGGGTCTGGTGGTCACTCCTAGAAGTCCCCGTCCAGCGAGATCTCGCAAGAAGGTACGATAAGATTTAGAATTCCTCTTCAGCACTGGGTCCATGTACAACCGCGGCATGCTGTCGAAGTCCACTGTCTCCGGCTCCAACCTCATTCGCTTGTGATTCTCCTCCAGGAAAGAGCGGCACCCAGGGCTCACGATGTCCTCGATGAAGCGGCAGCCCAGCACGCTATCAGGCAGCGAGACCTTGCCGGGCTGGTAGGAGACGAGGTTCCTTGGGGCAGAGTCCGTCTCGTATACGGACTGCCCCCGGAGCAGCTCCCGCAGGGCTGCCTCCGCCTTCGGCATCACCTCCGGAGCTGCGGCCTGACGCCGATGAGCTTCACGGAGCAGGTGCTGCTGAAGGGCTGCATGCTTGTCCAGGGTTGACGCGCCTGGACTCGGTGAAGCGACCGCGCCCTTGAAGCCCGCCAGCCAGTTCAAGCTGCGGAGGGCGCGATTCACCAATTCCACCTCATGCTGCCGAGCGTGGGTCCTACGCTGAGACCTGCGTCCCCGAGCGGAGTCGCCCGGCGCCATCATCATCGGCACGGGAAAAAGGTCTCTCTCTCAAAATCGGACGGCGGCAGCGGCGAGGCGCGGGCCAAGTTGCGGTACCAGCCAGGGGGGGCCCACTCCCCCGGCTGTGCCTTCTCGGTCATGACTGGACCGGCGGGGGGAGCCCTGGGGTGCGACCTCCGCGGCCACGGCCGCCGCGACCTCGCCCCTTGTCCCCGCCGCCGGCCCCTGTGGTGGCACCCTCTGCGCCATGGTGGGCGGCCACCCGAGCATCCACCGCCTCGGCCTTCTTCATAGACTGCTCGACCTCCCAGTCCTCCTTGGCGCGGCGGGAGACGTGGTTCCTCAGCGAGGGCGCCATCAGCTCGTCCGCCTCGCCCAGAGGAGCCAAGTACTTGGCGTCGGCGAACGAGGGGGCACCCGCGCGCTTGTAGGCGTCCACGATCGCGTTGAGCCGGCGCACGATCACCTCCAGGCAGGCCAACCCCCCCAGGTTGACCTGGTCGAAGCACCCGGCCTCCTCGAGCGCCTCCACCAGCGGCCGAAGCTCATGTGCGACGCGGTCGGTGCAAGAACTTCTCGAGCCAAGCCCGAGGGGTGCCGGCCGTGCGGTACATCATCTTGCAGGTGCGCAAGCACGTCAGGCCCCCCTCCAAGCGCTGGTGGCCCCAGTCGTAGCTCAACGACTCGTTCACGGCCTTCCTGAACTCCTTGTAGCGCTCACCCTGGTCGTCCCACTCGACCCAGAGAGTGCGGGTGTCATCGCTAGCGGCGTCAGCCAGAGCGACAGCCGACGGAGCACCATCTGGGCCAGGAGGACCCTCCGCGCCACTGGCGGCGGCGGCCTCCAGGGCACCGTCAGGCGGGGGGGAGCCGGGCGCCGCCACAGGAGCTGCCACCTCCAGCAGGCGACTCAGCTCGGCGACACGGCGCGACTTCCAGCTCGCCACGTCGCCTCGCGGCATCAGCTCCAGACGCAGCGCCCTGCCCCGTCGAAGCCAGAGGGCGTCCACCCCAGCGCCGATGAGCGTCTCGCTCGTCGGGTCGACGATCGTGCCGATGTCCAGGTCGGGCACGGGCTCGGCCAGCGCCCAGACGTGTCCCTCAGGAGGGGGAGTGGGTGAGCCTGCGGCGGCGTCAGCCAGGGCGCCTCCCACTCCCCCGTCGGTGACTGGCAACGCCTGCTTCCCGCGGAGGCGGTGCGGCGGTCGTGCCGGCCCGGCCCATGGGAAGACGTCTCCGCCTTCCAGCAGTCTGCCTGAGGCGAGCTCCACCTGGGCGGGGCCGTCGGCGGCGACCTGCCCGCGGGCCTCCATCGCCACACGGCACTCGTCGGCTAGCTCCACGAGCCTGGCGAGGGATGGCCGCTCGCGGAAGCTGTAGAGCTTCCGGCCGTCAGCAGGCGGGGCACCCCCGTTGGCGAGGCGCTCGCCACCCGAGGGGCCATCAGCAGGTGAGGCCCCCGAGAGCAGCTCCTCCCACAGGTCGCCGTCCGGCGAGAGGACCCAGTAGACGTGAGGGTCCACCAGCTCGCCATCCTCGACACGCCGCGAGGGCCACACCACGACGCGCTCATGGTCCATGATGTCGCCGTCATAGCTCACCCGTGCACGAGCGCCGCTGGGGAGATCAGCGCACCACTCCTCCCCCGCGGGCAAGGGGGGCAGGGCCGCCAGGCGTCCGCGCCGGCGCGACATGGTGTCCTGGTCCCTGGCGGCGCTGGCGGCAGTTGAAGCACCTGTCCGCCAGCGAGATCCACACAGGCGAGAGGAGGCTCACCACCAAGTGCAGGCCCAGCGCCGCGGCGCTCGGTCCGTCGCCCACCTCGGGGCAGACGCAGCCGCCGCCCCCCGGCGGCGGCGGCGGCGGTGGCGACGCGGCCGCCAGCTCCGAGATCGCCCGAGCCGCGGCCTCGGCACGCAGCGCCGCCGACGAGGCCTCGATGCAGGCGTCGGCGACCCCGTCGAGCCACACGGGGGTCTCCCTCGGTGGCTCGGGCACGGGCTGAGGTGAGCTCGTCCGCCAGCCAAGGCCAGCGATCAGCGCCACGCACAAGGCCGGCAGCGCCGCAGGCACGCCTGAGGAGAGCATGCGGCGTGCCGCCCGTCCTGAAGCCGAAGACAGGCTATGGAGGGGAGAGCGGGGACAAGTGAGAGAAGGCATCCCGATGTTTAAACGTCCTTGGATCGTTTAGCAGGTACTGACATCACCGAATTCAAAAAGCCCAAGCTCAAACCGTTCAAGAACATATATCATCATCTTCATCATCATCACCATCGTCATCATCAGCATCATCGTCATGAAAATCATCATCTGTAAACTTCAAAAAAAAACTCCAACAGCCTCCGACACACTCTGGACGCCACATATGAACCTATCAGCTCCTCTCTTCCTACTTCTCCTCATCCCCATCCTCCTTCTCCTGATAAGCAACTCTCACAATCAGCCCCCTCACCCCTCCCGGTATCCGCCCTAGCAAGTTGTTCATCCAGGATCGAATGTCGACGGTCCTCGTCCTCCTCCCCCTCCTCATCAACCTACCTCTCCCCCTCCTCCCCCTCCTCTGGGAGCCGCCGGACCGCCTCCTCCTCCTGCTCCTCCTGCTCCTCCTCCTCCTCCTCCTCCTCCTCCTCCTCCTCCTCCTCCTCCTCTTCACCCTCCCCTCCTCCTCCTCCTCCTACATTCCTCCTCCTCCTCCCACTCCTCCTCCTCCTCCTCCTCCTCCTAGTCCTCCTCCTCCTCTTCCTCCTCCTCCTACTCCTCCTCCGCCGCCTCCTCTTCCTACTCCGTCTCTTCCCACTCCCCCTCCTCCTCCTCCCCCTCCTCACACTCCGCCTCCTCAACCTTCTCCTCCTCCTCAGCCGTTCTGGCTAAGGTCTTCTTCCCGAGTCAGTTGGCGCACATCCTCAGAGCGGCGTGCATCAGCGGGCCACAGACACCGGCGGCAACGACTGCGTGCACGGCGTGGTCGGGGACCCGTCGCTGCGCTTTATGTACTATCCCCTTCTCACTGCTGCTGTTCATCTTGGTTGTGTACCGCATGCACAAGAAGGACGTGCTTGAGGGAACTGTTGGGCCCGCCTCTCCATCCGAGAAGCGTGGCAAGGTTAATACCCGTGACGGAGGCCTCGATAACTGTGTCCATGGCGCGATGGTCGGTCGTCTTCTCACCATGCTAAGATAACTGAATGTCTTGGCCAGCTGGCTCGGTATCCTACGTCGATTGGCTCTGCAGGTGGGTCTGGTCAGGAGTTTGCAGCAGCAGCCATGGACGTGGATGCTGCTGGCGGTGGTGGCGATCAAGCGAATGACACGTCGGAGCAGACGAGACGGCTAGAGGATATCAAGTCCTTGGAGGCGGCGCTGGCTGTTATCAAATCGCTCACGGGTGCGTGGGCAGATGGGCAATCAAGGCCACCAACAAGGATCTCTCTCGTCTGCGTGCTGAATCCGCCGGCCCCTTGCGGGGCCATCAGGCTGCGAAGATTAGGCTTGCAGCTCCCTATACCAGTTGCAGTTTCCAGTTTCCACTGTTACAGTCCTTATTTCTGCTTCCTTCCTGCTGATTGTTGCTGAACGCGCGAGGGGGGGGGGGGCCGAAAAGCGTCCTGGCTAGCGTCCCCGAATCGCGTTGTCTGAATTCCTGGAGGGTCGTGGGACACGAAAAAAATACATGAGATTCGCGTCCCCGAAGCCAGATTCCCTAGTAAATTACGCCATATTCGCGTCCCCGAGGCCATAAACCTTTTTGCAAATTGAACCATATTCGCGTCCCCGAAGCCATAATCCTTTATAAATTATGCTATATTCGCGTCCCCGAGGCTACATACATTCGTAAAGCATACCGTATTCGCGCCCCCGAAGCCATAAACCCTTGCAAATTTTGAAAAGAAAAAATCGCGCCCCCGAAGCCATGAACCCTATAAATTATATAAAATTCGCGTCCCCAGGGCCATAAACCCTCGTAAATTACAACATACTTGCGCTCCCGAGGCCACAAATCCTCGCAAATTATACCAGATTCGCATCCCCGAGGCCATAGACCCTTGAAAATTAAACCATATTTGCGCCCCCGAGGCCATTGACCCTAGTCAATTACTCAATGTTTGCGTCCCCGAGGCCACAAACCTTCGCATGTTACACAGCATCCGCGTCCCCGACGCCATGAACAATCGTAAATTACCTAATACTCGTGCCACTGAAGCCATAAACCCTCGTAAATTAATATTGGCCCTCGCGTGAAGTCCCGACATTGCTTCACGTCAGCGTCCAGACATCCCAACACAGCTCTGGCAAGTCCCATTCTAAGAGAGGGGGGCCGGCAGCATGGGGGCGAAGCCCTGACGGATATCATACACCCAAACCTTTTGCACGCTCAGGCCCACTATTTGGCGAATTAAGTGCGGCAGGAACAGATCAAGACGGAAACAAATGCAGGGCAGGCTGGCTGTTGCTGAGGAGGAGCTCAAACTTGCTCAGAAGGAGTGTGACGAGGTCTGTGCTCAGCATCAGGAGGCGCACAAACACTTGCTCGAGATGGAGGCGCAATGTAGTCAGTTGGAGCACCACTTACCTCAGGAACCAAAGCCGAAGGCTGGTGGGGAAGTGCCCAGTGCCCATCATTGAGATTCTGGGCCTCTCGGCTGAGAAGCTGGGCGAGTTGGCGTCGAAGGCTGCGGAAGGTGGTGACTCACGTAAAGAAGTTCCAGCAAAGTTATCGCTGGGCGTCGCCGGTGCGATTCGTAGGCTGTACGTTTCTAAGGAGGGTGCCGGAGATGCTGCTGCGACACCTGTGCCGCTCGGGTTCTGGAGGCAGTCCCGAGGCGAAGGATGGTCCCGTGCAGTTGGAAGTATGGGAGCTGGACGCGGTGGACTCGAAGGCTCAAAAGGGCACGTCGGGCGGCGTTGCGATCCTGGCCAAGACATTGGTCCCGATTACGTCTCACCCGTTGCTTTCCTCACCGTCGTTGGTGCTGGGATGTCTTTCAGCGAGGCACGTCCACCCGGGGCGTGAAAGGATGCATTGTCGTGGCCAGCATCTACCTCCACGGCTCCGTCGGCATGCACGAGGCCAACGGGCCAATCTCGTGGCAGCTGGCGGTGTACATTGCGAAGCTCACGGCAGCCCAGTACAATTGGGCAATTGCGGTGCACCATCATCAGCAGCAGCAGCATCATCATCATGATCATCATCAGCATCAGTATCAACATCCTCATCATGAGTATCATCATCATCGTCATCATCGGCATCATCAGAATCGTCATCATCGTCATCGTCATCAGCATCAGCATCATCAGCAGCACCATCATCAGCATAATCATCATCAGCATCAGCATCAGCATCAGCAACATCATCATCTGCATCATCAGCATCGTCAACATGACCAGGGAGCAACATGACGCATCGTGGCTGTATGAGAAAATAGTTTGATGGCGACTCCAGAGACTACGACATGCAGGCCCACCAAGGTCGAGCAGCCTTCGGTGGTCGATTACTTCCTGGTGCCTTCTAGCCGGGCGGCGCGACTTCCACAGCCTCAGGCAAAAGAAGACGGGGGCACTGCGCCACATCTCCCTGCCTTGATAGGCTTGCTGGCGGAGGATCTAAACATGAAGCTCCGCGTGGTCAATCAGCCTCGTAAGGTGCCTGCTGTTCCTAACCCTGGCTGCGCTCGAAGGGCGGCTGATTGGGGCCCAGTTCTTCGGCAGCCAACGGCGACGCGTTCTGCTGGGCAACTACCTCGGACAAGCCCCTGGACAGCCCAGCGGGGACCTGGAGAACCCCACAAGACAACCCCCTTTTTGACAAGGCTCCATCGGGATTCTCCTTCCATGAGATGTAGTAGTCCCTGGGATCAAGCAATGGAAGAGGTCGAGAAGGAGATATACCATCGATACGATTTGACGGAGCACCAGAGAGCGACGGCGATCCATCGGAGTGGTCGGGCCACGGCCAGCTTCACGCAGCTTCGTCGGAGGCCTCCTGCGAGAGGGGTTCGCGTGGGCGCGTATACTCTGGCGTACGGGGCGACGGCCGGATGGGCCAAGCGTCTCGTGGCGGTGTCCTCGTACGTTCGAGGATGTGCGGCCGAGCTGCACTCGGCTAACTTGTCCGTTAAGTGGAGGCTGCGCAGCACCACAAGATAGCAGCCGTCTTGGGTGAGGCTGCGCAGTACTGCAGGAAGATACGCAAACGGGAGGGCTTTCGGCGGGGCTCGATCACTGGGCGCAACAGTTCTTCATGCTGGAGCCCAACATGTGTCTACTTCTTGACTTTGGGAAGATGGTTGGCGACATCGTCCAGTCCGCTGACGAACGTTTCGAAGAAGCCCTCAAGGCTAAGCAGAAAGAATGGGAGAAGTCTGCACGGCCGTCTTTTGGTAACGGTGCGGGTCTTGCGCACAAGGCGACCAAGATGATAGATATGCAGTGCGTGCTGGACAAGTGGGAGGATCGCAGCAGGTTGGCGACGCCGCGAGATGGACGTGTGGTATCGCATGAGAAGGCATAGTTTGTGGAGCCGCTCCAGAAGGACTTCGAGAGCTGGCACATGCTAACCGACATAAGCATTAGCAACATGAAAGACGCGATTCTCTCCTTTCCAGTCAAGACGGCACTATCCCCTGGAAGATTGCCATGCAGAATTCAATCATGTCGCGGAAATGGAGTTGTCTACGCTGGCTAGTGTCCGGCGGCGAGCCCGGGGGGAGGAGTGAGAAGCAACCTTCTCAGAAGGCTCGGCGGTCCCCCGGCTCTTTGAGAAATTGTTCTGAGCCTTCCCCGAAGACGCAGAAAACCTCTCAGAGGGCGCAAGAGCTTCCGAGAAGTCCCGCCGCCTTCTGAGAAGGCCTTCCCCTTTTTCTCCTCCCCCTCATCCTCCTCATCTTTCCTCCGTTCCTCTTCTTCTGAGTATTATTAATCTGTTTATTATTACTATTAGTATGTTCATTATTATTAGTAGTATTATTAGTATTATTATTAGTATTATTATTATTAGTATTATTATTAGTCTCATTATTATAAGTATTATTATTATTACTAATATCATTATTATTATTTATATTATTATTATGATTATGATAATTATTATT